TATTAAACGTTAGCCTGTCAGGCTCAGATTGGGCTTTTTTCGTACCCCGGTAGTCGTTCAGTTCTTGGGGTATACTCTAGAAGTGCACAGAGAAAAGTATGTAGTATTTTTGGACATTAGCATCTAGACCGGATCCTTGTAGATTTGGGGAACTATACATACTATTCTATTGATTTGCCGCTTATTTTCACAGGATTCCTCAAAGCGGGTATCCTTCAGTCGATATATATAGTAATATTTGTGTTTTTCTTTTGTTGTTGTTGGTGCCTATGGCAGCTGCTGTCGGCTCTCGGCTGTCCGCTGTCGCTGCTACAGTGCGATGAGTTGTTGAAAAGTTAAAATGGATTTTACGCAAAAGTTTTTAATTTGCTGCTGTTATCCCACAAATCGTTGACCGTTGAAGAAAATTTCTATTCTCTTTTTCCCGCTTGTAATTATAATCTTGCTCCTCCTGCTCCCGCTCCCGCTCCCGTTCCCGCTCCCGTTCCCGCTCCCGTTCCCCCTTCACTCCTTTGCGAGCGAGAAAAACTTATTAATGGCGGCTTAAGAAGATTCCACCATTTCGTTTTAGTGTGACCAGAGGCGGCGCTCGTTATGGCCCAAATGACAATCATCGATAGTCTTAAGAAAATTTGAATACCGATCTGAATTTGAAAACAAACTCATTATAAACTTTCCGCTTGTACAACTCTCATTGTTCCTTGAACTTTTTACTGTTGGTATGAAACACTTTCAAAACCAGTTCTCTTTCAACTTTATCAGCCACACACAATTTTTGCATTAAAACTTACACAATGCCCTTTAAGGACCCACCAACCCACGCACAATCTCTCAGTCTTTCAGTCTCTCAGGCTTTCGAGCCAAGTCACCATCAACGTCTAGACATTGGTAAACAGAGTACAAAAGACTGTGTTGTGCCACTATTGAGGCGGAACAAAAGATCTCAGGCGAAAAGTGCGTTGGAAGTTTTTCAGTTTTTCTTATGCCACTTCCTCTGTGGCGATTAAACTGTCTTCGAAATGCATAATTGGGAGGGCCAGATATGAAGAGTTCTCTGGAGAAACGGAATATTTGGAATAGAGTATACTCTGGAATCGGAGGGGTGCACCCGCAGAAAACCAGTCTCCACATAGGATGCACACAATCTTCTTCAAGCCATTCCATCTGCCAACTGTGTCGCTTGTCTGGGCTGCATCTCTCCGGCCTCTCAAGTATTCACCAGGCAATTTGCAATTTATATTTGGTTAGCCAAGTTGTCAAGGAAGCTGCTGCACTTGCAACGTGAGACAATTGCAACAGGCTGCACACACAGACACGAGTACAGACACATGGGCATACACAAATTAGTTAAATTACAGGCGCTTCTCTTTTGGCTTAGTTGATTAGAAAAAGTGGCATCCAGGCGAGTCGGAGTTGGCGAGTTGGCTCCTGCAACATCTTGGCATCTTAAGCACTCGATGCGATGTCGCCCTCTCTCTTTCTTTGCGTGGCTCCTATCTCTGGCTCACTCAGCCAGCAGTGGGGCTCGTTTTCTTTGGCAGCTTTTGCCGCTAACGAAGCTCAATTCGAGCGCCAAATTGAAATTGATTGTGACATTTGATCATGCGTTCGCCTCTGCCTCCGCGTCTGGCCTTGGCTTTTCTTTGGTAAGAGGCATGAACGGAGCCTGTGACTGGAGACTGACAGCGGTGGCTGGTTGTTGTCTATGGAATTTGTGCGGAAAATTGCTAAAACAGTAGGCGCGCAGGTGTGCCTCTGGCTCCTCTTGGCCCTTGCCATTTCCCTCTTTCAATTTTCGTTCCCTCTTCGTTTTCCACATGTGTGTCACTCTCCTCCTCCTTCAGATACGCACCGGATTAATTGGACGGATGTGCATTGGGCTGATGAGTTGAGCCGCAACTGGAGAGGACTGAAATGCAGCAAGCCGGTGGGCCTCTCTGTCAGAGATTAACTTGAGTTTCACTTTAAAGTCCACAACAGAATGAGAAAAAGTTAAAATTGCTTGGGCGAATGGGAAAAATGCCAAGACTCGGGCAGGAAAATGGGAATATGTGACTGCTACGAAAAGGTTAAAATAAGCGAAGGAAATGGATATGTAAGTAGTGTGAGGAATTTAACTACCATATGCACATGGAATACCACCTCAGATGGAATTAATTGGAGATGGCCAGCTCTTGTAATTTGGATAAAAACTTTGCACCGCCTCACTAACCCATAGATCAAAACATGACCAACTATGTTCAAAACTCAACGCGTCTCGTCTAGTTAAACTTTGTGGCAACTGTACCTCAACAATTACCCTCTCGTTACCCCAGAGAATTCGACGATTTTAATGCTTCACCTGAGCAACTATTTACACAGTCTCAACTATCTCAACAACTATGCAAAGCGACTCGAGACTTGGGGAGGCGCCACTCTACGCCTAAGCTCATCTCGCTGAGCATTTCGCTGGCAAACGCAAACGCGAACGCGAACCGAGAAATCCCCACATGAATAATTGCCGCGCACGCAGTTCATTTAATTTCGCTTTCGCTGGGTGGGGCGGAAGAACCCTTTCGCTGGAGCTCAGCAAAATGCGGCAGGCACATGAATGGAAATATTTAATGAAGAAATTTATAACAAAGTTTTACAAATGGCGGCAGACTGTACGGAATGGCTGCAGATGCGTAGCGGGGGTGAAAAACAGAGGGTTGGGCCATTAAAAAAATTATGAACATTAAATGTAAATTAAGCTAATCAATTAAGACGAAATTGTGCTGAAGATTGGCGACGCCTTCGAGTATGGCACGGCCTTAAAGTACGAGTACGCACAAAGAGTGAGAGCGAGAGTCAGCTTCTGGCCCATTTGCTGTCCAACCCAATTAGCCATTAGAAAGGGGACTCCCCCCGACAAATGACCGACATTTAAATGGGGCTGGTGCGGAGAGGGCAGCGATCAATTGAGGAATCTCCCACACCCCGCAACCCGCATAACCCTTTGCTGTGCTGTGTAGTGCAGTGCATAGCTGAGTTAATGATTGGAAATTAATTTATCAGTGGGTGAATGGCACGGAGACAGGGCAGGCCATTGGGATTAGGACATTGCGTTGACAAATTGGTGGCAATTAGCTGGGAGGACAACGACCGACGACTTCTCAGTGGAAGGACAGAGACAAAGGCATTGTTCGTGAGGCGCGTACAGGTACAGGTGGAGGCGAACAGCTCCACTTAACGGACAAGGGCTATCGATCTGCGTGGAGTTGAGTTATTGATACGAATCGTCGATGCGTTGAGTAGATTTAGAGAGAAAGGGAAAGAGCGCCCATTGAGAATTAGATGAAGAATAGCTAGAAGAAGTAAGCAAGGATAATATACCAAAGAAGTATCGCCAATTGTTATATGATTTCCATTCAAAGCTCCATTAGAAGTGAGTCTGAAAAAATATACATATGTATACATATGTGAATATTCTAGTATAATCGTCGTTCAGTGGCATTCGACTATAACCACCAGTCGGCCGACCTACTATGGTAAACAGTCGGTTACCCCTTTCAATGAAATTCTTTAACGACCGCCACTAACGAACTGAAAAATTCAAGCCAAACAATAAAAAGGCGTCACCAGAGCCGGGTAGCAACTGCCGACTTGAATGGGCCTAATCAAATTAAGTACTAATCCTTGGGAAAAACCGCGAACAATTTAAAATGATTGTTAAGTAAATTTCCCAAAACAATTACGATGCAGCAACGATTCTCAGAGAGCGAGGAGTCCCAGGCGCAGGCGCCAGAAAGAGAGATTTTCTCTAGCATGGGAGAATGTTATTTGTAGCATGGGAAAAGTGCAGGGATACTTCAGGGGACTTCAGACGAAGGACTGGCGCTTTACATATGTGTAAATTGTTAGCGAGCAGATGGCCATTGAACAAGACAAGACGACAATAATGAGTTGGCGTTTTTCGACTGGAAGTTGGTGGAAAGAGGTGCCCCAACTTTTTGGAGTAACTGAAGGAAGGATAATCCACTTAGGAGCGACTCCAAAGGCGGACTCCAAAGGCAGTCCTGGGGACGACAACGTTGCACATATGGCTGTGGGGGGGAAATTGTTTTATTACCCAAGCGAAGCCGTTGAGTGTGTGTTGACTGAAAACAAAGGTGCGCACAATAAATTACATTGTTACACGGAAACTTACGACCAGGACACGGACAGGGACACGGACACACACATGGAGCCAGACACAGAGGGGAACACAGATATGGACACAGACACGGACATAGACACAAACACAGACACAGACTTAGACACAGACAGGGGGTCCTCCTGGCAGGAAGTCAGCAACAAGCGTCGCGTTAATGAAAAGGATTTCTCTGCCATCTCCACATGTCTGCAGTTGGTTCTCCATCTCCATCCACTCCCTGCACTTGAAGTGACTTTCCGCTTTTGGGTTATTTAATATTTAAGCTCTGGCCAGACTGTGGATGTCCTGAAGAAGGTGTCCCTTCTTTGATGTCCTCGACCCATTAGTTGAGGTCTCAACTGCTGCATAAATAAACGCCTCAGTTCATTAGTGAGTCTCGCCCCCAACATCGCTCGATTCTCAATTCGGAAAAGGGTTTACGGGTCTCTGCGGTTCTCTATTCCAACAGTTGCTGCGGTCGCCTTTGAGGCATGAAAGTGCGTGAAAGTGTCATAAGCCAGGGAAGTGGGAAGCAGAGGTTATGGGTTTTATGACAGACCACAGTAATGCGGCTTTAGAAACGACTGCAGTGCCATTTAAGGCATAGTTGGGTTGCTATTTGTGGGTTTTGCTTAAAAATTAATGACCTTTTAATCGATTTTGAAGATAACTCTGAAGATATTCCCTAGAGAAGCAGTGGATAATGAACTGAAACTGGAACCGAAACCCTATTAAAAGTAGCCTTTGGAAACTCCCAAAATATAAACGAATCCCAGTAACCGCTGCAAACTTCAATCAAACTCAGTCACAAATTATAGATCAAAATTCAACAAACTAACTTTTCATTAGCAATATTTTCCTTGGACTGTGTGCCCAGTGTTTGTGCCAACAGAAGTGGCATCCTCTTAGATTAATGGGTTCAGTCGTCAGTCAACTGCAGCCCCCTGCTCTGTACGTGAACATGAACAGTCCCCAGGCGGAGTTTGTGCGCGAGACGATCAGCAATCACAAGGTGGTGATCTTCAGCAAGAGCTATTGCCCCTACTGCAGCATGGCCAAGGAGCAGTTCCGCAAACTGAATGTGAACGCGACGGTGATCGAGCTGGACCAGCGCGACGACGGCAACGAGATTCAGGCAGTGCTAGGCGAGATGACAGGGGCACGTACTGTGCCGCGCTGCTTCATCGATGGCAAGTTCGTGGGAGGCGGTACCGATGTGAAGCGCCTCTACGATCAGGGCATACTCCAGAAGTACTTCCAGTGATCCACTTTCAAGGATACTGCTGCTTTTCCACCACTTAAATTACGTTTCATGGAATAAATAATCCAAGTTTTCGCCTCTTCAAATGCATGTATCCCTTTAAAGAGTGCCTTTGCTATCTCTTCTTGGTACACAACAAAAGAACAGCAAGGCATGAGGTAGGTAGGAGGTAGGCGGGAGATGGGTAAAAATGCCTTTTATCTGCTCAATATGGCGCTCAAGTTGTTCCTGAAAGGGATCACAACGAATCCGGGGGGTGGTCTGGGGCAGGGAGACAATTATGCTGTGAATGCTGAAAGGCAAAGAAGGACTCCGGACTCGGGCTGACTGCGCTTTCTTTGCAGCTGCACACCTGCCTGCAGTCGGGGCATTATTTCGTTCCCCATTGTTGTCCCGGATGAGTTTTAATACCCATTTGCATATGAAAAATTGAAAGCATCAACCCAGGAGGAGGCATACAGAGGTCAAGGTTCTGAGCAATACTCTCAGAACAGTAAATTTCAAAGAAATTTTGTATGGATTTACTGCATTGACTTAGAATCCAGCTACGTCTTTAGAAAAATATCTCATTCTTTGCGTGGCAAATATCTGGGTCAAATTGAAATACTTGTAGTCCCCAAAATCAAAGAGAAATCCTTCAATTGATTGCATTTTATATACGAGTATTCTGCCTTTCTTAAAGACGACATAAAATTGCTAGCAATTTGTTTTGTCGTTTTCGTAAATGGTTTTCCCTATATCTACTATTTGAAAATTACCTAACAATGTCAAATTACTGACACACACATGAAAGTTGCTCAGGAATATCGCCTGGGCAGGTGCAGATAGACGGGTAAAAAACGCCTGGGCACACGTGTCGTATGCGTAATTTGGCTCATCGATTGTTTTTTTGGTTCGTTCTTTGGGGTTAAATCGCGCGTAAAACCAGCAGCAAGGATTGATTGTGGAAATTGGTGAGCAATCAGGGTGAAACCTCATGCCATAGTCATTCCATTGAATTTGTAAAAAGCAAACGGGCTTGCAATTGTAATTGGAATAAGATTCCTTGAATTGATGGGTGAAAGGTATTAACGTAAAAATCAACTAAATTTGTACATATGTATGCATTTACTATCAATATTTGATCAATCGCTTTATGACTTACCGCACCTATGATCTCATTATTGTATTTCTTGGCCACTGCTCCTTAAGTTTTCGTCTCTTTCCTGTTTTCATAGCCATGGCTTTCCCCCACATTTTGGACACTCCCTCGAAAGTGTTCACTCTCCCTCTCGAGCACAGTTAACTTTATATGCAACTAACCTTCGCCAGAGCCAAAAGTCCCTACAATGTTGCTTGCATATATTACATTTTCCTGTGATGTCCCTTAACTTAGTAAGGGAGTGATACGTTTTGGCAGAAAACTAGCACATTGATAAGTACCTGATACCGGTGACTAATAGATGGGATTTTTAAACGATACTCAAATCATATGATAGCTCTAACTTTGAAAATAATGTTTCCAACCGATTAATTTTAGGTTTCATTCAAGCTTTTCCTTAAAATACTTGGTAAACCTGCTCCTGCTCAGTTCTTGAGGTGACTTCGGCAACTGAAGATCCCTCTAATTTTGTTGTATTAGGTATTCTACTCTTCGGCTAGCCCGCTTTTACATCTAAAATTCTGTAGTTGTTGGACTTATCCAGCGTGAAAACTTGTTATGGCCACCAACACGAAGAGCATTTACAACTGCAATGGAATGGAAATTTTTTATGATCCCCAGGCGCTTGGCCATAATTTTGTTCTTTTTTTTTTTTTGTGGCAGAAGGGGCACTCAAAAAAAAAAAAATGTTTAACAGTGGCATATAACTTTGTTTTAATTTGTTGAAGGATGAGTGCAATTGCCACTGACGGACTGACGAAGCGAGCGCTTGGAGGTGGGGATCTCCCGTATCTGTGTGCCCCAATAAAAAATGCATTTGGCAGTTTGATTGCGTTATTATCTACTTGGTAGATCCGTCCACGCCGGAGCAACATTGTCGCTCCGACTTTAATGTCCAGAGATTTAATGCAGAGAAATTTTGTAATGGCTAATTTAACAGGGCGTGGCCGCACAATGTATCTCCAGAGGGAGACCATTCAATCTACCAATTATCAGAGCGTTAGGTTTTCTATTGTACAAGGAAAATATCTAAAAATTTATTAGAACTCCCTCCTGGCAGACAAGTTGCCCGTTTGGATAGTTTTCGTGGCATCTCTCCCGCCTTTGGCCTCCTGCCACCTAAGTTTTGTGGCAGCCAGACCCTGGCTAGACCAGCCATATATCATATAGTTGCCCTCCGAACGCTGTCTGCCTCGATGCATGCGCATGTGTGCATCTGTGTCTGTGTGTTTGAGTAGCTCTGCGAGTGTGTATCTGTGTGCAATGAAGCTCCTCCTTCGCCTGTGATAGACGATTTATTAAGCGTTTTATTATTAGTTTTCTCGCTTGGTGGCTTTTGTGGCATTTTTGATTACAAATTCCGGGCATCAAGTGTTGTAATTATCAAAAAAGAAAAAAGACCAACCGAGTGGAGCGGATATTCCATTGTTGGAGATTCTTTTTGCGGTTTCCGAGAAATAGAGATTGAGGGTTTAATAAATTTGCTTCATATCTGCTTCTGGTTTGGGCGACTTTAAACGGTATCTAATTTTGGCTTTGAATAATTATTGAATGTGTTCGCAAAACTCGTTCAATCGTCCTTCTAATGACATCCCATCAAGCTGAACGACTCTTCCCTGTAAGAGCGGCTTGAAATGTGTTAAAATTTCCTAAAACGACATTCGCACGTAACATGTCATGCCAACATATAATTATATTAGTGCCTGTATTTCTTTGTTTTACACATGCCATCCCCATACCATCCCCACATAGCCCTCATCCTGTGGCATTGCTCATGGAATCGGACCTCCAGCCAGCGCTGACTTTGAGCTTGTCCAGGCAATGCTTTGGCCATGGCCATGCAACGGAGATCTTTTCAGGTTGATAAAATACAGCGGGCGGGTCACCAACAACAATCGGGGGAGGCAACGCACGTGTTAACAAGGATGCGATACATAAAATAAAGGAGAAGTAGAGCCAAGTGAGGAAATAAACCCTAGAATGACAGGAAATATGTGTGCGTGACATTGTTACTGTGGGTCTGGAACCGGAAGCAGCAGTGGGTGCCTCCTATTGTTGCTATTTCTGTGAACACGAAAGCAACAGGATATACAGAAAATATGCTACCTGGCTAAGGAATGCATGACAGCATTGATATGAAATAGAAACCCCAGAGAACGACAGACAACGGGAGAGTGGATTCCGTTTGCCGAACTGCAATTACACCAATTAAGTTAACAGCCGTACCAAAAAGTGGTATCCCTTGATGTTGCAATAATTGCATTAGGTGAGTATTAAAGACATATCACTGGGTATCTATTTGGGGATTCTCTCACGAAACCTGAACCATAAATATTGTATTAAAATCATAGAATGGGGGAGTAGGTGTTGCCACAAAACTTTGGCCTTAACTTTGAGCCTCGAACCCCTAACAATTGGCAGTTGCAATTCCCCTTGGGATGATCACCCCCGTAATTTGATACTATGCGATAGCGTTTTAGCTAAACTTTCAACTTTTGGGGCCATTAATCAATTAATTAGGTATTTTATGAATATTTTAGGAGGGAGATGAAGACGGGGGATACTATGCCATCATCGGGGCGTTCCGAACGGAGCTTACCTTAACGCGACCGCATGAATATTTTAGCTAAATGTTTGGGGAAAGAGTTTTCCTGGGCCTTCAACATCGAGCTGACGTTGACGCAGATAATAAGTCGAGACGAGGGCCTTTTCCGAGGGAAAAAGGGATAATGAGTTTGCTTCCAGGGAGTTGTTCATCAACTTTCTAAGGAATAAGCAATAAGAGCATAAAGCAGTAGAAAGGAAAAAAGGAACCAACTTTCCGACTAATTAATTAAATGCGCTATAAAAATGTTTGCTGCTGTTGGCGCTGGAAAAGTTTCAGCGCATTTACGGGGCTTGAAAAATGAGCGCCAAAAATGTTCCAGCGCCACAGAGTGCAGGACGGGCAAGTGCTCAAGTTATTCGAAAATGTTTTCCCAAAAAAATTATGCAGGTGTTTGCCGGTTGGGGGGCAGGGGATCCCCATTGCCAAAGAGAGTCTTCCCCCCACTGTATTGACAATTTTTTTGTTCTGTCACGATAAGGAAAAGTTTTTAATGAGTTTGCCAAATGCCGCGAAGTGCCGCGGATAACTGGAGATGATTTGTCGGCACTCGAAAGTTTCGACTCATGCGAACGTTAGTCACGATTAATTCATTTTGTATTCGGGAATTTTATTTCAGGAAAAACTTGCTCATGCATGTTTTCTTATCGAAATGTTCTTTTGATAAAGCTATGTCCTTAAACGCAGCTGAATTTACAGTCGCATTCATGAGGACTGGCATGGGTACAGTCGTGTCTTGAAAAGTCCTCCCTCTTTGTGCAGTATCAACAGTGGATGATGCATACCCATGTAACCCCTGTAACTGACACCATTTCGGTTGATTTCGGATTGGATCACGTTGTAAGCAGTCTTCAACTGATTCATATGTCCAGTGCAGTTCCAGTTTCAGATCCATCTTCCTCCCTCCCTCTTTACAAGTCGCTCATTTGTCAGCATCATTCACAATAGCTGTCAATGACCAGGAACTCTGACCCTTAGAATCCCCCCACGTCAGTCAATGCGTTCGCCATCCGAACTCCACCACACTCCGCATCCGACTCCCCGTAGATGTACGCACTCCATCACATACCTGCCCCACACATTAATGGTCAATTTCATTTCGATTTGATTGTGTGCTCCTGGGTCGGACGAAACCAGACCTACGAACAGGCTCTTGCAAATTACCGCCGCCTCCTGTGGTGCGCGTTCGTGGCGCTCATTGAATTTCCACCCCAACCCCTTTTCGAAGGACCTCATGTGGGTTTGTCAAATTAGCGCATCGTTTGTTGTGTGCTCCTTTCCGGGGAGAAGGCATGCCACAAAACGAATTCCAGGAGAAAAACTTGTTCACTTTAAACCAAGTGACTCACAGGCCATTTCCTTGCCACTTGTAAGTCGCAGCGGGTGCGAAGAGCCCCATGCAAATCACAAATTCACAATATTTCAAAGATTTCTATGCAAATTAAATATTGCCCCATGAATTTATTGTGTCAAGGGATAACTCAACCATAAGACTCCAATTACCTATACCTCTATACATGCTATACCATCAATTCCATTCTGCTATCCAATCCAATCCAATCTCCTATCCTATCCCTCCCTGGGCACACATCAATGGCATCCACTTTGGTATCGTTATTTGATGGCATCGCACAGCCGTTGCCATTCATCAAACAAGCGAATGGATATTACTTCATCGAGTACAATATTAAATACTTGAACGGAACGAACATCGAAATTGTCAACGGACAACCATCGAAACGACCTCAATGTGGGGTCTGCTGTTTGGTGGGGTTGGGGTGGGGGATGGGTATGGTGTTGGTGTTGGTGTGCAGGTTGGCAGAGGGAGCTTGAAACAAAAGTAAATTGCAATAAAAGTTTTGTAATTGACAAACGGACAACAAACAAAACTCCACTTCAGTTGTCGTTTTGCTGGACAGCAGGAAGAGCAGCATCGAGAGAGGCAGCAGGGGGAAAGCGGGAGGGCAGCAGGAGGAGCATCAGAAACAGCAGGAACACCAGAGCCCAGCAACGGATGGTATGTGGTTTGGCCTGAAGGAGGATGGCAGTCTGTTTTTGTCCTAAACAACTGGCGCTCAAATCAACAAAAACCGATTTTGCCCCCGAAAAACAGGAAGCGGCAACAGCAGCGACAGCGTTGACAAAAACTGTAGGAGGCCCAGTTCGTTCCCTGCTCCAGTGGCTGGCCTGGTTGTCTCATCATTTCGTACATTTGCGCCCGCATATTGACTTTGAGTGGGGGGCGCACAAACGATTCACAGATTTAAGAAATAAAAGTTTAGTGCCCCAACAGGCAAAGCTGCCACCAATGCCAAACGGGTAACCCACACAGACGTAGACTCTGAACACACACACACACACAGACACACACACATAAACACACCGAGACCCAGGAACAACAGGGAGTTGTGCCCTCTGTCAAAGCAAACAAAAGACGCGTCTGTGGTTGCACCTCCCGTCCCGATTCCTGCCCGCTAGTTGTCGAACGCAAAATGTCGACGGTGGTTAGGACTTTGACTTGTTTGGTGCCAGCGACAGGATAGAATCAGAATCGGAATCAGGATCGGGATGGTTGAATGGCGGGGATGGTACTCGTAGGATGGTTGGATGCTTGACTGGGCTGCAGGGCTCATTGGGTACGAGTAAATAGACTCACTCGATCCGTGCACCAGAGAAGGGGAAATCTGAGTTAAAACCATAGCAAAACAAGTGCAATCTGCTTAAGGTGTTGACTAAAGTTAGCCTTCAACTAAGTTACGTTAAGAGACTTACGTACTTACATGTCATGCCTCTTCCTATACTTGTTTTTCTCTGTTCTGTTTGCAAAATGCAATTTAAAACAATTTGTCAAGGAGAAAGGAAACCAAAGAGAAAGAGAAACTTAAACCGAAAATGTGAAAATGAAAATAATAATGAAAGAATGAATTATGAACTTCTATATACTTTACAGAGGTCCCCGAAGGACCTTACCACTTCTGCTCTCGCCCCGCCGCAATCTCTCTTACAGTGTGGTACGTGAGTGGAAAGCGAAAATTGTGTGGCATAAAAATGATTGTGTGTATGTTAAGTTTGGCACGCGGCACGCCTACAATAAACCGCAAAAGTCATAAGAGTGGGAGATGGCGATAGAGATATATAGTACATACATACTTACATACATACATATATACATAGTTCCCCCGTTGCCCGCAAAAGTATGCAGCATATTTCACAGTTCGAGGCAGATGCCAGCAAAACAGAAAAGGACAAAACAGACCCCAGGGACGACAGTGTGCCCCAACTGTCAGCACACGCCTACACTCATAGCGTTACTGTTAGTCACAGTACGCTTCCATCCCCATCCCCATCCCCATCCCCATTCCCGTCCCATCCTTTCCAATAGGAAGAGAATTTTGACTTATGAGCGCTCTGGGCGTAAGTTATACTTAACTACATGCCGCAAAAGTTGCCACAACTTTATTGCTATTTCATGTGCCATTAAACACAGCAGAGGGAAAGAGAAGGAATGTGTGCGTGCGAGGGAGATGACAGGCGACACCGAAACGGCCTGCTAATCTGTTGATAAATAAACAAAATGCACAACTTGATGGCTTCATTCCCCCACGTCCCGAAAACCACCAGGAATACGAGTGAGTGTAAGAGTCGTTGATAAATGTCATGGCATTTTTACCTGTGCCAACAATGGCCACACTTTTTCACCATCCTCCTGCTCCAGCTTCTCCTCTTCAGTCATGCCGCTCACGTCGCTGGCACGCAAATGTGACCAGAGCCATTGAGAACGCGCTCTGTGGTTGTAGCTATTGTCATCCATCAGAGTCAGACAGAGATAGTAGGGGAGAATGAGAGAGTGGCGTAATATTCAAATAAAGAATTGTCACCTTGACACGTCTGAGGCGTGCCCAAATGGTTACCAATTTACCCATACTCCACGCTTACACTGTCCTCAACGCACTTTCGCTTCCAATATCTATTCGAATATCCGATATCTTATTTATTCATTGCATCCATCAATTCCATTCATTGCCCGAATTGAAGGCGGCAGAATAGATGCATTGATCATCAGATGGGCTACGATATTAGGCCTTAAGGCCTTTCGGTTTATTAGCAAAGGTTAAAAAGCACACATGTAGCGGCTCGATCGTTCTAGAGAGGGCTATTGCTCTAAAGTTTGGAAATTAGTCAGGGCTTACCAGATCCAATTGGCATTGACTAGCGTTAATAGGAAACTGTATAGAATGAGTGTAAATAGATTCAAGCCTTTGCAAAGAATGGGTCGTGTGTGGGTCTTGGTGGTATCACTCCTGTTCGAATCTGCAGAAGTGCTATGTGAACCTGTACTGCGGATGCCGTCCTTCCTTTGCATTCCGCCATATGTTGCCGTACAGGGACGATGTGCTCTGCCCACTTCACCGCAGCCCAGCCTCTATCCATATTTAACTGACGTGCCAACAAATATGCCTAAAGAGACAACGCAGACATTCCAGATGACGATTATTACCACAGCCTCATCGGCAAACACTATTCCTACCGCAAAGGTATGATATGGAATGTTATATTGTATTAAGATTTCCACTGTGTTACATCCGATATATGTGTATATACCTTTCACAGAATACGCAAGCGACATCATACACCGACACCATGCCGGATGTTTTCAGGACAATTGTTCCGGAGGAGATAAACCTACCAACTATACCAACAAATTATCTTCCTCAAACAAACATTCCTCAACCAGTTATTCCACATGTTTCTAGACCAGGTATTCCTGAAAAAGAAATCCCAAGTAGACCATCAATAGTCGCTCCTAAAAAAAATATTCCTCAACTAGTGGCTCCAAATATTTCTATGCCAGTGAATCATTTCATAAAGTATCCAAATTTACCAAATTTTTTTCTTCCCAATATTTCTATGCCAGTTATTCCTTATATAAACTTCCCAAAAATCCCAAAAATCACCCTCCCTAGAAGCCCGCCGCGCTTCCCAAATAATTATCTATTTCCTAGTACATTTTTCCCCTAGTATTCCCTAGTAGCCTTCCATGGAAGTTCTCTATTTTGCATGGTATGAAATACAATATTTGTTGCTGCGCGGGTAATCCTCGTCCGTAGTCCTTATATCATCGCGTGTTTCTCTGTGCAAGGGGTCTCTGATTTGGTCATGGAAATTCATGTTTTAATTTAATGCAAATTGTACACTGATTATGCTGTCAGCCTCGATAGAGGCCCCACATATGTACACATTTTAACGATACATATATGTACATGTTAATACCGACTGTTCTGGGGAATGTTGGCTACAACTTAATCATTTAAAATTTAAAATTGATATGTTAATACTTTATTCGCCTGCTTTTGAAATGGCAATGTTTGCTCAATTACGAAATAGTTCACAATGCAATTAGATTGCCTCCCTTTAGGCCTCCCCAGCACGACTTTCAGCAACTTGTATCGATTGGCTTTGATTTGTAATAACTTGAGAAAATGTCTTTGTTGCATTTCAAATTTCATTTTGATGTTGATGTGGCACCTCCGATCAAAGTAAAATCCTTACAAATGTATTGAGATATTCTTTGCTGAAAGTTTTGTTACAGTAAATCTGAGAATAAAATTCATTAAAACAAATTCAATAGCACTCAAATCCATGCAGATTCAGCTGACTTACAGTCAGCAGCAGCCCGAAATTCAATTAATTATACTAACTTAAATGAAAACCCATACACACACCCATGATGGCGTCATTATCAGGCAGTGGCAGCAACAGCAGGCCCTGCCACATCCGACAAATGCAATGCAGCAACAACTACGATAATGCTGCGGAATAGTCAAAATCTCTAACACACAACAGCTGGAAGACAATACGAAGGCGCAAACCCAAATCAACGGCAACATCCGTGGGGGATGCGAGAATGTTTATGCACATTATGAACAAGCATCGGTTGTACGGGACCCGCAGAGAGGGGTAGAGAGACATATGTATATATCCACATATATATAGAGGGGCATACCTATCACATAAACGTTTTGTGCATTGCAAATCTGATTCCCTGCTGCTGCCGCTATTGCCCCTGCTGGTGGCAGACAGCGCCCAGAATCCGGATGCGACCCCATTTCAAATCCATCCAAATTATGCACGAAAATTATGTGTGCGAAAGCGAAAATTTCCACAGACAAAATTATGGTTTTCCCAGTTGTTCTACGGTTCTGCTTCTGCGACTACGACTGGATTTGTATGGCGTATACGAATATTGCGCATACGACATGTGTTTGGCATATTTAAATGGGGCACAAGCCCAGAAGCGGAAAGAAGGGGTAGAGTGGTGCACTGCCATTAGCTCAATTTGGGCATCACTTTAAGAGAGACACAATTCAATTGTTTGCCTTTCGTCCAATCATTTGTCAAATGAGTTTTCAGAAAATGTCACGCAATGCAATTTTCTTTTTGCAGTGAAAGCAGGAGAAAGCCCCATGAAATAAATGATGCCGGAGCTTGCACTGCTCCTGCTGGGAGTTTTAGTGTCATATAAGTAAATCCCTGTGGGAGATAGAAAAATGACTGAGAACCGACTGCGAAAGTTAAAGTCCTGCAGACTATATAGACTCCATGCTCTCCCCGCCATTATTACATTGTTGCATAAGACAGCCATCGTGGGGGGCTAAAGGGGTCGAGTGACTTAGAGAGGCAGATGCGTGTGCGTCCTGCAGCCAATAAGTTGCTAGCAGCCGTTGCCACTGCAGCACAAATATCCTTGTCACATGACATTTATGCACATTCGTGTGTGTGTGTCCTTCCTACTGCTGCACGTTGGCTGCAACTACAACTTAAAGCTTTTAATAAAAATGTCAAGTGCATTGAAGTGCATAGGGGGAAACGCCAAAGGAATGCGAATCAGCGAACGAGCGAACAAAGGTCAGCTGTGGCACCATTTAAAGCATGTTGTGAGACCTTTTCATCATTCTGAAGCATGGCATTTAACGTCATTGGGACTTCAACTGTCCGACTTCAAATTTATTGCAAGATCTGATAGTTAAGATTCCATTAAAAATCCAAAAAAACAATTCTCTTTTTGCTGATATTATATCAAAATGCTGATGAAAAACTCAGCCCATTGGCATTGGCTCAGAGAATTTCCCTGCAAAGAAAATATTTGTTTTATCCTTAATGAAAAACACAAAGGGTTGATTAACGATGAAAGGGATAGCTCTCTCGTTGCCCGTCTCGATATTAGCTGGAACCAAAATACTTTATTATTATCACTTTCACAGAAAGTCTGGTTCTGTCTACGAAGAGATGAACGGGTATCCTCATGGTCGTGCCCTTCTTGCTTATCGTATATTTGATGTCTTTGAACTCCTCCGGTGCGTCGTTCTTGTTCTCCCCAACCAGCTGCAAGGCGATTTTCAGTTCTTGCGCTGTCTGACCCTCAGCCCCGGCAAAGAGTAACGCCAGGGCGGCCCTAACGCCCACCGGAGAGATCATGAAATTTTGTCGATCGTTCTGTGCAGAAATAAGCGAAAAGAGTTTGCTGGATATGTAATCGGCATGGACCAAAGCCATTAGGCAGACCAGAACTTAAAGGTAATGAATTATAGGAAATATAGGAGAATCTGGAGAGAAGTCACAGGAAAACATGCTTGAAATTCGACGGAGTAGCATCTTGAATGCAGGAAAGTTACTCCAGGAGTTGTGCGTATTCATTAGACTCGACTGTTATGGAGCCTGTTCTTCATACAGCCGCAACGAATGGTATTAAAGCCTGAAATTTGCAGTTATATAATCCCAATTGACATATGACTGTAGGAACTGTGGGGCTGCGGGGTCGTTTGTTCTTGGTAACAAAAAATCAAGCATGTCCCAGCCTTTGTTTCACACGACTTGGCAGGGGTTTTCCACAAGTTTTCTATGCCCCTAAAATTTGTTCAGTTTGAAAAACGTATGCAAACGTGTTATTCTTCTTCCTGCAGTTGAATGAAGGCTGACCCCCGGGGTGACTGCTAGGATGCGGAGCTTCATGGCTGACAATATTATTGAAAGCTTGACATTTAGATTGATTGCAATTAAAGCACTTTCTCCTCTTCAATCTATCCTTCCCTTTTTTATTTTTCTTAATTTTTCTTAAAAGTTTTTATAAATTGGTATTTGCTTTTAAAGGGAAAAAGAAGATATTGTTGAATCATTTCTTTATTCTATTGCATAATCTGATAGTTAAAATTCGATTAAAAATCCAGGAAAATTATCTTATTGTTGATGTTATATCCAAAGTTCGATAAAGAACTCAGTATAATGCCATCGGCGTAAACAATTTACCTGCAAAAAAGATATTTGTTTCATCCTTGATGAAAAACACAAAGGGTTGATTAGCGATGAAGGGAATAGCCTTCTCGTAGCCCGTCTCGACATAAGCTGAAATCAAAAGACTGTATCAGTATCACTTTCATATAAAACTCGTGACCCTTTCTTACTCGGCGCAATGGGACACGCGTCAGGGCAGCCGCCATGTATCTCAATGGTTCCCTTATGTTTGAAAGCAGCCAGTCGGAGGTCTGGCTTCTTGCTGAGACCCGAGAAATCGGGATCGTGCAAGACGGTGGGCACGTTCAACCCATTCTCTAGCAGCCCTAGGAGGCTGGTCTCATACTCAATGCTGAATTGTGGCATTTGCATGAGAACAGGCCTAAGAGTAAAGTTGTCCGTGAGTTGAAGTAGATCATAGTTCTTGAAAAGCGTTTGTTGCAGCCACGAATAATCGTTGAGCCTCGTGGACATTATAATGACCAGACTGAGATTTCCCTCCTTGTAGGGTATTTCGATGCCGACAGCCCCCAAAGCAGGCAGCTCCCCACACCGCAGCCAATCGTATTTCCTGTACATGGTAGCGCGAAGAATGCGACCTGGTACTTGGAAGGGCTGCCGTTCGCTCATCCGTAGGAAAGGCTTCTCGAAATCTCCCCGGAAGTAGAAGCCGCTGGTTAAAGCCATGTTGGACGAGGAGCTAAGGTCGGAGTCCCTCACAATGTCATCTACTTTGCGATCCGAGGCCGACTCAGTGTGGCTGCTAATGGACTTGGCCGCCCCCGTTGAGTGCTTAAAGTGCTTGTGCACGGCCGGGCTTTTCAGAAACCTTTTCGTTAAACTCTGATATTCGGACTTCAGTGGGTATCTTCTGTCCACGAAGATCTTGGAGGGTATCCTCATGGTCGTGTCCTTCTTGCTTATCGTATATTTGATGTCTTTGAACTCCTCCAGTGCGTCGTTCTTGTTCTCCCCAACTAGCTGCAAGGCGATTTTCAGTTCTTGCGCTGTCTGCCCCTCAGCTCCGGCAAAGAGTAACGCCAGGGCGGCCCTAACGCCCACCGGGGAGATCACGAAATTTTGTCGATCGTTCTGTGCAGAAATTAGCGAAAAGAGTTTGCCGGATATGTAATCGGCATGGACCAAAGCCATTACGCAGACCAGAACTTAAAGGTAATAAAATATTGGATATATAGGAGAATCTGAAGAGAAGTCACAGGAAAACTTACTCGAAATTCGTTGGAGTAGCATCTTGAATGCCCGAAAGTCACTCCAGGAGTGGTGCGTATTCATTAGACTCGACTGTTATGGAGCCTGTTCTTCATACAGCCGTAACGAATGGTATTAAAGCCTGAAATTTGCATTTATATAATCCCAATTGACATATGACTGTAGGAACTGTGGGGCTGCGGGGTCGTTTGTTCTTTGTTACAAAAAAATCAAGCTTCAAGTTGAGAACAGTCCTCTTTGGCATGTCCCTGCCTTTGTTTCACACGACTTGGCCGGGGTTTCCACAAGTTTTCCATGCCCCTAAAGTTTGTTCAGTTGGAAAAAGGTATGCAAACGTGTTATTCTTCTTCCTGCAGTTAAATGAAGGCTGACCCCCCGGGTGACTCCCCGGATGCGGAGCTTCCTGGCTGACAATATTATTGAAAGCTCGACATTTAGATTGATGGCAATTGCAGTTGCTCAGCAATCCTCATTCGTTAACAATACGTGGTGCAGCGCTTTCTCCTCTTCAATCTATCCTTCCCTTTTTTCTTTTTTCTATTTTCCTTAATTAAAAGTTTTGCCAAAAATTGTTGATTTTCGGCGAAGGGAAGAAGAAGATATTGTTGAAGAGCTGGCAAAATAAACGCAGAGTCTTGGAATGCATTTTACTTTTCTTTTAGGTTACTTTCCTCTACCTATATTTTCCTTCTAGGGTGGGTACTTTCCTCCTCCCCGTGGCATGCAATCGTGCAAAACTATTTCAATTTGGACATTTCCCTTTTTTGTTATGCTATCAAGTTGTAGGAGATTCGTGAGCTAAAAGAGCAGGAGATGGAAGACGTTGCAGACTTTAACTTGCACTCCCTTTCTTTAATCGTACTTCCCTATAATAACTGCATCAATTGGAGCTTCTGAAGTGATTAAATTTCTGTTAATCCCATCAATCAATACGTTCTGCTCTTTCCACTTGAAATACCCCTTTTCTCAGGGTATTACTTGGCCATCGGCTTCATCAATTCAGCTCCCCTCTGAGCACCCGATGGAAGGTTTGTAGACAATTGGAAATAGTCCTCCCACTCTGTGTAGCTATCGTTGCACCCCTACCAACATCACTCCATCTCTACTGTTCTTCCGAGTCGAACTGTAAATTATGCATACAAATTAGAAACTACCGTTCGTTGTGGAGGGGATGACGTAAACACACTCGTAGAAATGTTGAATAATAACATTAATGAAAACAATGCACAAGCAGAGAAAGAGACAGACAGGCAGAGAAGTAGGACCGTGTGATAGTGAGCGGGGAGAGGTGAAGTGTGAGACAAGGGGATCGAGAAGGACAAACAGCTGCCGGAAGCAAAGGCAAGCAGAAAATTAAACAGAACAAAGCAGAGTGAACAGACAAGCAAAAGCATGGCAGATGGCGACAAGATAAACACACAAACACACACATGCACACTTACACACACACGGTCTCCCACACAGTTACTCATATATAGTACGGTGTACAATTATGTACATGCACGGAAGCTGCAAGAGCAGCAACAGCAGCAGCTTTGACAACAATCACAGTGAGCGCCAAAAGAAAAACAACAAGAGAGTAGCATAAATACCTATCAATTCGATGCTTAGCAACGTCACATTAAATATAAGAGAAAGGACAGAAAACAGGACTTCCGAAGGTTCAGATACCCTTAAAGAACGATAGTTCCAATGAAAGATATACTAGGGTAAGACCGGCTAATTGATTTTTAACTTTCAGCGAGCATTTTAAGAAACAACACAGCTGTTCGTATACAATAGCTATTGTCTTAATTTGAAGAACGATCATGGGATCAAGTATTGATACGTTTCCTGCAGAAAACTAAGACACAATGACGAATAGAGTATGTACATAATTTACAGACTAAAAACGATTCTCTATCTGCTCTACAAATACCTCAAATGGATCATAATATCCTCTTTCAAGGGTACAACAAAGAGGAGCAAAAAAAGAACTAAATCTCATCAGCTTTCACATCTGTTTGTTGAGTAAGCACAAAATAAAAGCAACAAAAGATGTAAATACTGCTGGAAAAAGTAGGAGAACAAATGAAACATTTTGGCATCCTGGAAAGTTGAAAGAGACACAAAGTTTGGCTAGAATATTCTGTATGCTGGCCGAAAGAGCTCTGTTACCATGTGTGCGTGGAGTGATTATTTTTGCATGTTAACAAATTCTATCTATTGTGCTTGCTACAAAAGATACACATTCTGTAAACTGTAAACCTCTCTAAGCGATGCTTAAAGTACACAATTTTTGTATAAAATCAGAGAAATTCAGAGACAATTACCAACTTTTGTTCTAGAAGAAATGAAAAATAGAAGGAGCAGATATGAATGTGTTGATACTCGTAAAAAGAAGCATAGTGGGTGTCCCAACATTAAAGCACTTGCGTTTCGTTGATTTATATTCAACATAAAGAAACTTTCAGCATCTAGAAACCATCAAATACCATCTGAAACCGCACAAAACTCTTTCATCATACGGCTCATACCTGAATCATTCACTCCTTGCAGCAACTCTTTCATTTTGCAGCCCTGCGGTTTGGTTAGCCGCATTTTTGACTGTCCCACAAATGAGACATGAATCCTCGTTCGCCCCAGCATATAGCCCCCCACCTTGTATCCAATCAAAGTCACCTTTGTGGCCGGGTTAGGCAGGCAAAAGCCGTTTCACTTATTCATCGGCAACCGCAAATCTTTTATTTGACTTTTGGCAACTCCAACGCGGCATGACTTTTACTTTGGGACACACTTTTTGCCACCAAAAAGCAAGGAAAGAAGGGGTTTGGTTTTCTTCCAGAGGGGGTCCTAGGTGAGTTGGCATTTTGGTTTGCCAAAGTTTTTTAATTAATTAGGGGAAAAGTCTAAGTTGAAAGTTGCGGCAATTAAATGTGAGTTAAAGTCACCAAAGAAAATTGTCAAAATAAAGAAAATGTTATACAAAAAGATGGAGGACAACAGAGAGAGAGAGAGAGAAAGAGAGAATCAAAAGGAAAATATTTAATAAGTCTCCAAAATATATGACGCAGTCACGTTTTTTCTGCTGGGGGTTCGCCAGGGGAAAGCAGGAGCAGATGACGGCCGCAGAGGCACACACATGTCCCGACAAAGTGTGCACACATGTGTATTGTATATGCGAGATATGGGGATACACTCGTATATGTTTATATGGTGTGCTTACACTGTGCTCAACAAATATGCGCCTAATAATGCCTCAAAGATGGGGACGGGCCTGGAGAGCTGCCCCATGTGCCCCGCCAAAGGCTTAAAATATTTGCACGTAAAATGTTTGGCGGAAAATCTCAACGGAGACGCAGGCAGCGAGTCAGAGGGAGACAGCACTCAAAGCCAAAGAGATAGCCACACATACATGCATACATACGTGTACATGGCTCTTGTCATAACGCAGCTGTTGCGTCCGTTGTTTCACATGGCGTATTCGTAATGCCTTTTGAAAATGCCATAAGCATGTGCCTTTAATGGCATCATTTTGCCTTTTGGCGAAATGAAAATGCCTGCAAAGTGTCAAAAGTTGATGGTTTTATTGCCTTCTTATTGCATTTAAAAATTAACATATGAAAATGCAAATTATTTGTATGATATCTTTTGGCCAAAACATGTCCTACTTTAAGAGGATAAGTATACAGGTTTCTTCGTGCTTACCGAACCAAGAGCTTAACTAAATTAATCAGCAAATTTATGCAGGTAACGGCAGAAACCCACTCAGACCAAGTCCTAATTTATTAATTAGTGATTCGTTAGTGTTACGCATTTTGGTTTTTCCCACTTTCAGCCCCCATCTCCAAGGAGATATAATCCACAAAAATACAGAAAAAAAAGTGGCAAAGTGTCGCAGGTAGAAGTAAAACAGAAAGAGAAACAGAAACACATGCCATGGAATGCAAACATGGGAGACTCCCAGGTGGCACAGCGTTTACCTGGGGCTTAATTAAAATAAATAGACACATGCTACTGCTGCCTCCGCCTGCGTCCCGACTCATTCCGCATCCTTGATGTGGTGCCTCCGCCTCGTTATTATGCAGCGAGCATGTTTGGCATTAACCAATATAAGTAGTCGGTTCTGCCAATTTCCATAAGTCAACAGGGAGGCTGCTAGCAGGGCGGGAAACCAAAACGAAGTCAGCAATTAAAAGCGTTGTTCATCATGCGGACAGAGCGGACTCGGCGGACACACTTCTGCGGTTAGTTTGCGGCTAGCACTGGCTAAATATTTTCCCTCGCCCTGAGATCCTCTCTTCTTTCCTGGCGGATTACCCGTATTCAAATCAGTTGCAACGCCCAATTAATGTAAGCGGACACAATGTTGCATACTAATGAGGCAGGAGACGATTCCGACGCCGAGACGACACCCAAATGAACATGGAAATAAAGATGTGCAGAACGATGTTTGATACATTCTCCTAGGCTCCTCCTTCTACCTTCTGCTCCTGGTGCTGTCGCTCTTCAGGCTTTGAGTTTGCTTGCCGCAGAGATTGCGGGTTTTGATTTTTTAATTAAGAATAAAAGGAGTGAGGGCTGAATAATAATGTAAATTTAAGACGCAAACAATAAATTTGTGGAATTTCAGGGATAGTTTGAAAGGATAAAGGTTTTGTATTTTTGTATCGTAGCAAATTCATCAAGAAATCTCACTTTCATTAAAGATGAATAATTTTGACATATACATACATGTAAATTCAAGAGCTTTTCTCGTTTTCTCTACTTACCCAAAAGTAAATGCCAGGAAAAACATTTCTGTCTGTTCCTTTACGCTTGGATTATTTTTCCGAGAGCTTAGGAATGGATGAGAAATGGAAGTCTCAGGTTTTTTCTGCTAATATTTTGAAAGCCCTGAAATCTAATTAAATAGAATTTTTACGATTTTCCCACTGTATTAAGCCTGTTACATCCAATTAAAAATCTCGTTATGTAATAAAAGTGGAATAATTAAAGCAGCAGCAGAAGCATTTATATCTCCTCCGTGCCCTCAGAAGTTATGTTCATCCCATAA